GGTTATTTGGAATTCGAAAGGGGTCTATTCTTCGATTGCAAGTTACGTCATCGCGGCCTCTCGTGAGAGCGTTGGTGCCATCAAAAAAGATATTTCTCATTAGCACCATTACTAACGGCACCACAATGGCTGACATGTTTTTGTCTTTTGACTCTCTTTGCAAATGCTTGCAACCCGTCAATTTATTTACCTTCCTCATTTTTTTAAAACGCTAGTCAGTCCAGAACATGGTTATGCAAATTGGGCGCCATATTTCGATTCGGTGCATAGGCTGTCAGATATCTGTAATTTTTTTAAATAATACTATTGGATTCTTCTCGTTTTAGTTTCAAATGCCTTCTTTAACCTTCCGCGGTCTTGTCACTCTACCAATCATATATTTCTAATCTAATAATCTAATTCTAATATATTTCTAGTTGGCAACTCGAAAGCTATGCTCCTTTGACCACTACACACTTTTTCATAATTGACATCATTACTTAAAACTATCTTTAATTAGGTTTTTTTTAATATCTGTCATTAATCTTTTCTTATTCTGTAACTTCTTTTGTTAAAAGTGTAAWTAAACTGAACTTGAACTTRAACTTGAACTAATCAATACAGACGATATCGAGTCTTTGGATATTACACTTCACGTTACAACAATTTTTCTGCATTTTATTTGTTATTCTCGTTCTCAAAGCCTGCGTTATTGGCAGCAAGCATAAGCCATATGTAACATCTTCATTCTACACCGATTGTATTCGTTTTGGAAAAATGTTTTGACATTGTTCTACACAAAATGAGAGCACTGGTGGTTCAGTGGTAGAATACTCGCCTGCCACGCGGGTGACTCGGGTTCGATTCCCGGCCAGTGCAAAGATCTAGTATTTTGTTTTTACTGGAATTCATTAAAGTGAATATCAAGGAAAAAGCTTTATTTTCAAAATCACTTATATTTTTGTAAAAGTGTACAAAACCRTGTGCTTCAGTTATAAGGTTGATTTATTTCCACAACAGCACTGATTTTTGTATAATAAAAG